ATTTATATTACATACTAAATATGCTTACTAATTTTAATTATTTTAATTCATATTGTAAATGACAGGTGCTCAGCCCCCAAAGAGACCTCACGTTCAAGGGACTTTGAGGAACACATACCGGAGGCTGAAGAAGTTCGTTACTCATTCTGAAAGGTACGAGCCCCTACAGGTACTCTGATATCTCCTACCATTGTTCCTCGTCTTGCACGAGCTCCCTCACATGCACCACCTCCCACACCTTCATTGAATTTCTGTCAACATTCCTCATGGGATGAGCAGACCCCTCGATTCCTATACCTTAGATGAGTGACTCCTCTGACAAAGTCTATGTTGTGCCGACAGAAACTCATAAGTCAACTTACTTTTCACATTAGTGTAATTTCAATTTTCAACTCATTTTTTATTGTAACTAATATTTCAACTTCAAATTCTTCCCTTCCAGGCTGCCCACGACAAATCACGAAGATCATCTGGAGTTAGTATGATCAGCCATTTGTCTCATAGAAACATATCCTAATTGCGACCCGAAACATGTGTTTTATGGAGTTCAAGGTATGATATTTTATTTTGAAATAGAATGCTTGTTTATACTTTTTTTAAAAACTTTTTTTAAATCTAATCAAAATTGCATATTTTTTTTATTTGAAGAGATCCTTCTACCTGTTGCCAAAACATTACCAACAACACCAATAAATTTTTGAGGTTTGTCGTAGGCATTGGCTCGCGGAAATGTTCACTACAGCGTGTAAGAAGGGGCAGAGGCCACTGTGGGTGGGTGAGGAACTCTGGGCTGATTTAAACAGAGCACAAGCCTATCTAGAATACCGGAAATAAAGGCAAACAAACCAACATAATTGAATGATGAAGAGAGCCAGAGGGGTCACACTCTGCAATGGAGGTTTGATACCCCACATAAAGCACTACCAGTGACTGATCCAATTATCTCAAAATTCAAGAGTTTAAATACTTATGTAATTATGTGACTTTTATATCGAAATACAATCCAAGAAACTTGAAGGAGATCCATCTATTGCAGAGTTGCATGTCCTCATGCATCGACACCCGAACACACAACGACGGGTCTCCGACTACTCTCGACATGCCAATGTAAGTTAAGAAATTTAATTTTTTGTTTGTTCTTGCTATTAAAATTTAGAAAGATAATCAAATGTTTAAATTTTATTATGCAGGAGTAAGAACAACTCTGTGAAAGACATAGGGAGAGCCAGACCTCATCGTCTGCCAATAGTAACTGGAGAAATCTACCGTTGCTCAGTCTGATTTTGAGCTATGGATACAAGCGGTGGGGAAGAAGAAGAGGGTGTACTACCTAGATGCGAAGGGCATAGCATTTAAGGTTGAATGCTCTCGTGCAGCTATGGGTGGCCCTAGCTCGTTACAGGCTCAACATGATGAGCTTTTGAGGATGGTCATGCTCATGAATGAAGAGCTTTGATAGGTGCGTGAAGGCCAGTAGATGGTTGAGATGCTCTAAGACACCCAACAGAGAGTTTTGATCACCGAGACAAACAACATGAGTGATATTGACGAGGATGTCGGGGAGAAGGAGCAGGATTTTTATTATGTGTTTTTTTATGTTCTCCCGCGTAGGAGTTGATGACTTTTTGTTTTCATTTCTGTTTAAATTTATTTTCAATTTCTATAGTTGTGAACTTTAAACACTTAGATCTATTTTTCCTTAATTTAATTTGTTCTCATTGGTTAGACATGTCGGTGATTGCTTTTTTTCAGTTCTGATGATAGATAAATATGATATTATTGTTACTTGTGCTTATTATGTGGTGGCATGTGGAAATAGATGTATTCTACGGTATTTTTTGTTTTTTTTTTTTTTTTGCTTCTTACAGTTTAGCGACCAATTACAGATTAGCACAGAGTTTTTTTATGCTATCATTTATTTGACGCAACTTGCAGTTTTTTGCGTTAGTATACGATTGATGCTAATTAGTGTTCGCATTCGTGGAAGTTAATTAGTGTCTATCATTGTTAATATTAATTAACATTGACCATGGTGGACGCTAATGCGAGGTTAAAGTTGTGTGGACCATTTTCTCGACGAAAATTCACAACAACGAATTTTTGAGAAGCTAATTCCAAATTAACTAAAAATTCAACGCTAATGTCGACATAAAATCAATTAGCAGCGCCCATTTTAACGCCAACAATTTTTCGACGTTAATCTGACACATTGATTAGCAAAGTCGGAATTGTCTAACGCTAATCTGCATATTTTTTGTAGGCATGAGGTGGCATTGCATAGATATTTTATTCCAGTAACTTGTTATAATCAACCATTATTTAGAGAGCTTTCAAGAGAAGCAGAAAAGAATAAAGAGTTTCACTATTTGACTATATTTTAATACCCATCATCACGATTTTTGTGGATGGAATACCAACTCGAATTTCCTTTCTATACCCATCATCATGATTCTTGTGGGTGAAATAGAATCACCGATGCATACAATGTTGATCATTGGAGTTTATCAACATTGTGATTTTAGATGAATCAAAATAAGCAGCTACAAATGTAGAAAAGTTATTACTAGCAGAGTCTGGATGCATCCGGACAACATGTATAATAAGATTATACGCAGTTGGACAAATATTATACAACAATGTATAACAATGTTGTACATGGACCCAGACTGTGCACGATAGGAGAAAGCAAAATGCTAGAATTAGGGCCCGTTTGGGGCGGTTTATTGGTGAGGTTGGTGTTTTACGTAACGCCGCCTGTGCGTTTTTTTCGAACGTTCGTCTCCGCGGTCCGAAATCGTCAACGCCCTTTATACAGGAATCGCGACCGCGCTCGTTAGGGTGCTTACTGTGTATCGTTCGAGCTTTTTACCCCTTACTATCTCCCGATCTCTCGTTCCCGATCCCGTCCCGATCTTCGTCCTTCTCGTCTCCGATCTTTCTCGGGGTCTGGTTCATCGTCGTCCCCATCTCCTCTGCCCTCCAATCTCTCTCGGTGGCTTGGTTCATCATCGTCTCCGTCTCCTCTGCTCTTCTCCTCTCCCGATACCCTCAACAGACTCGTCCCCTCTACTCGATCTCCCTGTAAGTTCTTTGGAGCTCCGGCTTTTTGGTAATAGGATTGTGTTCGAGTTGTTTGCACCTGTGTTTCCACTATCGACTCTGGCTCACTGGTAATAGTTAGGTTTTTCGAATTTGTTAAGCCTGTTTTGATTCTATCGGCTCTGGCGATGCATTATTTTTGTGGCTTGTTTTATTAGAGTAGAAAATAGTTACATACATTTGCTTTCTGATGCACCTATGTTACCTCTAACGCTGGAAAAGATTTTGGTGTTTCGGCTCCGTGGTAATATAACTGTTTATGTTGAAATGGGAGAAATGCGAAGAAGGATTGACGTTTAATGCCAAGAAGGATTGGGAGAAATGAAGTTTCTTGTTCCATCCGACAAGAAGTCCCTATCTATTTACATCGCATTCTAAATTCTGAATTCAGATTGCTCATCTCATGATTGCGGATGTATGTGTTATTTGAGTTCTAAATTCTGAAAGAAGAGGTGAATAGATATTGGCCTTTATGCATGTAGATATTTATACTACCCAAATCTTTCATATCACATAAAAAGTAACATTCTTTTATCTATTATTTTCCATAAATAGTTATGTTACAAACAGCTTAACCAAACAGGGGTAGAATGATCATTTATCCAACAACAAATTCTAATAAATTATTCTGAATAAGCTGCCCCAAACAGCAAGTCAACTTATTTTGATAATCTGCAGATTATCTAATTATCAGAATAATCTGCTTATAAATATCCAACAGCTGCCCTAAACAGACCCTTAATGTATTTGAAGAAATTTGAGTTCTATATATCTATGTATGTATGTATGTATATATGTATATCTATCTATATATAAGTAGAAAGATTTAGATGTATAAATTCCCAAAAAACAAATGATTTTATATTTTATATTTTACAACTTTTTGTTATTGAATGCTAACTAATCAAAATAAAATTTTTAATACTATAGTTCAGTAAATGTTATTTATTCGTCTATACTCAGAAAATTTGAAAAATTAAAAAAAGAACCTTGAGGCGGCGATGTGGCCATTAAGCTTAGCCGGCAACTGCAGTTTCCAAGATCCATACTCTTCATTAAGCATAACGTGGCATGTCGATTCTAAAATCGATAATGAAAATCCAGACCACGAGAATTCTATGATAACAAAATAATGTTTTTTATTTCTAACATATCAAGCGTAACATAAGTTCAAAATTTTTTGATAAAAATTAAAGAGCTTCGTAGCACATACTCCACGTTAGCCATTACGTGGCATATCACGAATTTTGAACTCTATAATCAGAATCAAGTAATCCATTACAAAAATTTTATGAAAATAAACGCCTTTTTAATAAATAATATTTTTAAGAGACATCATGTATAGAATAGTTCCCAAATTTATAATTTACTTTTAAAAAATATTGGAAAAAAGTGAGAACTTTTCTCGGGGAAATGAACATGTAAGAACTTAAAACTATAATTTGAATTAAAAAATATTCAATTTCATTTTAGAGATGATAATTCAAAAAAATGAAAAAATAATATTTTTAAGAGATCGTGTATAGAATAGTTCCCAAATTTATTATTTACTTTTAAAAAATATTGGAAAAAAGCGAGAACTTTTCTCGGGGAAATGAACATGCAAGAACTTAAAACTATAATTTGAATTAAAAAATATTCAATTTCATTTTAGAGATGATAATTCAAAAAAATGAAGCATCTCTTTCAGTACCGAATCGCTTACGGATGGTAGTCCGCGTCAATACCCGAGGAAACATTCGCAAAGCGAGCTTTATCCATCTGGGCGGCGATGTGGCCAACATGCACTGCTGCTCTCAATCCCCGTGTTCTTTGTTTTTCAACACGTGGCATCTCAGCTAAAATTAACCCATAATTCACCCAGCTCTTGGCTATTCGCAAAACCCAATCTCCATCTTTATAACAAGCCCTCCCCCTTCCTTTTCTAGCAAAAAATTAAAGCCACGTTTGTTTTAGTTGATCTTTATCGCCGCGCAATGGATAATGTCACAGCTCCATCTAGCACCGATGTCCACGGAGAGGAACAGCACCACCACGAGAAGAAGCCTGTATTGAAGAAAGTAAAAGACAAGGTGAAGAAGATAAAGAATGCTATCGGTAAGAAATCTCATGGGCATGGCGATGAAGGCCAAGATGTTGATCATCACCAGCACGGCGACTTGGATGAAGGAGACGAGGGATTTGTGGAGGATGATGATATGATGGAAGAACCTGAAGTCCATGGCGCCCCAAGTGCATACTCTTGTCCATATTTTTTCTTGGTATTCATTTTCTACAGCTTGTATTTGAAACTAATTAATTTGCATGGCTATGACAGTGTATGAGAGCTCAGCTATCGGTGTGAGAACTGGAGGGAAGGATTTTTCGGGAGGAAGAGGAGAAGGTGCTGAGAGAGCTGGCGATGGTTTGGGTTCGATCAAACCAAAGTTTGTTGAGGATCCGGTCTCGCCCCCCAACTCTGAAGCTGAAACGAAGACAGGAGCCGAACATAGTCGAGGTTTGCCCTTAATATGCCATTATTTTGCAAGTTAAATCTACAAATTTATGGATTTAGAATTTGCGGGATTTAAAACCAAAATCTATAAAATTCAGACTTATGGTAGAATTTATTTTGTCCGCAATGAGTGTCTAGCAGGATTCGACTAAATTATAATTTTTTTGTGGATGGACAGGTGGAGAAGAGGCGGATGTGCCGCCGGAGCTCCGCCGCTCTTTGGAGGCAATGACCGTCTCCAGCCACAATGACGGACAAGAAAAAGAAGCTATAAAAGGAGCAAATAATACTTACACCGGCATGGTCACGTCTGCAGCTTCTAAGGTGTACGAACTGGTGGCGGATGCAGGGACAGCAGTGATTTCAAAGGTGAAACCTGATGGTAGAAAGGAGGGTGAAGGTGAAGCGGTGGGGAATCAGGACAAGGGGCTTTCAGTTAAGGACTATATAACAGAGAAGCTGACGCCCGGGGAGGATGAGAAGGCTCTTTCGGAATTAATAACTGAAGCTGGACAACTGAAGAAGAGTGAGGAAGTGGAAGTGCCGCGGCAAGTGGGTACGGGATTCGACGAGGGTGGGAGGGGTGCTGGTGTGGTGGATAGGCTTAAAGAGACTGTTACTTCACTTCTAGGCGGCGGCCAGGGTTCTCCAAAGTTGCCAGCGACAGAACCTGGCAAGAAAGGTGAGTCTTTTAACTTCTAATTAGTTTTGTCTTTCTATTATCAGCCTAGTTAATTTTGCATGAGTAATATTTGTCCACCTGACTTTACTTGTGGCCATGGGAATATTTTTATAAACATTTATATTATAAATTTTCACTCATTGTATATATATAATAACCCCTGAATTTTAATTTTTAATAATGGTTCACGAAATGGCCTATAAAAGCTGTTGAAATTATATCAAATAGGGCTGTAAATCAGTTGAGCTCGAGTAAGTTCATGCTTAGCTCGTTCAAAACCAATTATATTGAAATCAGATCGTTTGAAATTGCTCGTGTTCAACCTGTGCCTTCGGCTCGATTTATATATCCTTGTTTGTGTTCCGCCCTAAACTATCTCATTTAAATTAATTAGAAAAATAATTATAGCCTCCTAGATTTAAACCTACACTATTCATATGTGATAGAAAGTGTAGAATTACGTGATCAAAAGTCTGTGTTGTTTTAAACTTAAATATAAATGTATAATATAATGTGACATTTTTCTTTATTTTGAGCTACAATAAGTTATATACAACTGAACGGAGGATTGTTTGTGCTCGGCTCTTTTATAATTCAAGGTTTAACAAATTTAATCAAATTTTTTGCTATACATTAATGTTTAAATTATTTTTTCATGGTTAACATTAAATTTTGTTTTTTTTTAATTTTCCAATCATTTAAAAAATTGGAAATATATTTAAAAATGAAAAAAAAAAACAGAAGTTGACTCGACTTACTATCAAGTGGCACCCAACTTTGTCTAATATTAAATTTATATTTAACTATTTTTTAATTTGAAATTTATAAGAGAACTAATCATTGATGTTTGCCTTTTTAATTCTTGAGAAAATTTACATACATACAAGACAATCTTTTACGTATTTATAAATGCACCAAACTTTTGATGTTTACATTTATAGACTTTGGGTAAACCTATACTTCAAAATGTCCATGTGCCTTCAAAGTTTAAAAGTGCTAATACTGTTAATGTGATGTTAAAATTGAGTGATACATCTATATATCAGAATTGTGTGGTCGAACAAAATTTTCTGTAATATCTATATAAATTTATAGAGCATTAATTTTTTTTTCCGTCAGCGCGTGAGTTTTTAGCTCTTTTTTGTAATTGAATGCAAAAAACAAAAAAAATTTTAAAGAACATTTTTAGACTGAACTCTTTTGTGATGTCACAGTGGCAGACAGCGAGGACTCTCTTCGTTGATCATCTGAAGCAATGGCTGGAGTGAACGGTTTCCATTTTATCACTGTTTGATACCATGATGGATTCAGAATGCCATAATGGGGTGCAGATATATGTTTCCTCTTTTTCTTTATTATTATTCTTTTTTTAGGGTGCCATGGTTGATCTTCGTTTGGTTCTTGTGTATTTCTTTCCACTGATTTGGACCTCTGGTTGAGTTGCGTGGCCCGCTGTCTGGTCATCCTGCTGTTTTTTCCTTGCGATAAATAATCTCGTTGGCAAACGTACCTTTTCTTAGATTATTTGGTTTTTTCGTTTCCTTTTTTTTTTCTCTAAAATCTTTGAATATTAAAATTGAGTTTACATCTGCATTTCCAAATTTTTTAAAAAGGAGCTAATTTAATAATGGATTATGGGGCGAATAAACTTCCCACAAATAAAATTTAAAAAGAAACATACGAGCTACTCCTAGGAGTGTTTTATAACAAAGTGGAATTTTCGACACACTCTCAAGGGGGGCGTTTCTTTACAAATTAACTTATTTAATTTCATAATCTAGGATATATTTTAGTATAAATAATTTAAATATTAATATATATTAAGTATTATTAGAAATAGTTTTCTCAAATTTTTTTTATATTAGTGAAAATATTAAATTTGTTAATTAACTATGACATAATTAATGTTTGTTAACATTAAATTAATTAAAAATCATAATCAAATTAAATGAATTACCAAATAAAATAAGAAATTCATACAATTTATTTGATATTAAATTATTCTGGTAGCATAACGTTTACACAATAATATTATTTTCTTTATCGAGGTAGAATGACGTTTAGTAGTGGTATCAGTGCTATCAGTGCTTGATGCGGCAATTGATGCTTTCAAAATTCTTCCTTCAGTTGTGTCCTTCGCAACATTTCACGACATTTAGTAATTTTCCCTATTGTGATTTGGTGGACAATAAATTTTTTGTGTACCAAAATTCTCGTTGACATCAAAAATAGTCGCAAACATGGGATTGTCCCAAAAATTTAAATTTAAGTATTCATTAGTATTAATTGTCCACTACAATTCAAATAGTGGAATTTCATGCGCTTTTGATATTGCATAGTCAGAGGAACCCTGCATTTTGGGTTTCTGCAAAGCTAGAGGGGTTTGCATAACTGTGAGGTCCTGTAAATACTAATTGGGAAGGATAAATAAATGTCTTTGATTATTGTTGTTCTTGTGACCCGTGTAAGGAAGAACTTTGTGTTTTATTAGTTGAAGATCTCCTTGTAACATATGTTTTTCATCGTCACACAGCAATGAAAGATGACCAGTGGAGAGCATGAGAGGTTGATTTAAAACAAGCAATTTATACTTTCTGACATTTGTTCTATGAGATGGTCCTACTTTAAAATTTTGTCAACTTGGCCAATCAAATGCATTATAATCATTGTGAATTGATTCTTCTGCTCTGTGTCATAGCTCCAAAATCTCATCATAACCTCGTTTCATGGAACTAGCTCGTGTGCCATGGTCTGCTCCAAAGCTTTTTTGCAATGTCCTTGCTACGAATGAAGTAATACAATTGTATAATTGATTATGCATTATAATAAAAGAAATTAGTAGTTGATATAAAAGAATGCAAATGTATACTACTATTCTCCCTCCTGAAGATCATGTGTAATAGATATCAGGAGGCTGAGTTGGAAGCTTCGTTAAGAAGAGTGATAACACTATAAATAATGAACTAATTCTTCCTTTCTGTCTCCTTGTGGTGGGTAATGGTACAATAAGTTCTTGACAACTATTCCATATCTTGATATATTTACTTTAATATTGGTCCCAGTTAGTTCTTACTCTACCTCGCCCATCATCTCTTCAAAAAATTGATTTGATGGCTTCAGAGGTTACATGTATGTGCTGACCCTACTACAGATATTTTTGATGCATCTCCTAATTTCTGGCTTTTCGCAGTGTGTAGATGTCAATGACACGGGCAAGATTCATGATTATAATGCATACACTAGCCGTAAGTCTTTTTTTTTTATCTAAAGTTGTTTTAATGTACTCAATGTTGTTAATTATCGACCAAAATCTGTTTGCTTTTATAAATTGAATTGTATTACTATTAATAGATGTATTAATTGATGATTTAAATTAAATTGTATGTCCCAAAATCTATGGTTCATTTACTTGTCCGGATATTATTAAATTGAATTATTCATTTACTTGTCTGGATAAGTTATGACTGTCGAAACTTTTATATGTATGTGAGAATAGATTGAATTGTATGTCCCAAAATTTGTTTGCTTTTATAATTAGAGGAATTCAAATATTAATTAAAGCTTATTTTAGAAAAGGAATAGATAGTCCTATTACAATATAATCTATGATGACAAACAAAATTATTCATTTACGAAAAGATGCTCTATTAGGAGTAATACAAGGTAATTTTTATTCAAATCTTCTACTTCAAATCTTCTACCATTACACACCTAAAAGAATGCAACAATAATCAATTATTATTATCTGATATTATATTACTCTTTATAATAAATGTACAATTTTACTTGACACAGGTGCACACAAATCGCACATTAATAAAAAACCTAATTCCATCAAACTTACATATCTTAAAAAATAATTCTTATATTTATGAGGATTATGTTGGACAAGAATACATTTATACTCACGAATCTAATAAATTTTTTGGATTTTGGGATATTAATAATCAAAGAATAGATTTTCAGCATTTATTCTTACTCAATGATAAAAATTCAACTAAAATACTAATGATACATGGATTTTTTATAACAACATACTATTACATTCAATCATGAAAAGGTTGAAATAAAAAATAATACTATACAAAGAATTAATGAAATTTCATAGTTACATTAATATAAATTTATATATCCCTACATATGAACTTATTCCAATACACGTCTTGCATTACTTTTTTTCAAAATTCTTCTAATTTCACGATTAGATACTTCTGTCAAACCACTAGTTTGGGGATGATAAACAATTGCAATTTTATGCATTATATTATATTTTTCCACCAATCTTGCAATTGTTGCATTTCTAAAATGAGATCCTCCATCAGTAATAATTACTTTCAATATTCTATAACTTGTCAAAATATTTTTAATTAAAAATTTTGAAACACTCTGAGCAACACATCGAGGTAAAGCTATCACTTATATCCATTTTGAAACATAATCCACTGCAATAAATATAAATTTCCAAATAAAGATGTAAATGGTCTCATAAAATCCAATCCCCAGGCATAAAAAAATTTAATTTCCAAATTATAATTTAGAGGCATTTCATTTCTTTTTTGAAGTCTTACTTACTCTCTGACACCGATCACATGTTTTTATATATATATAAACATCTCTAAATAGAGTAGGTCAATAAAATTCAGATTGCAAAATTTTTTTTAACAGTTCTATCATCCCTAAAATGACCTCCAAATTCAGAATCATGACATTTTTAGATAATTTGCTGAATTACTTTGTAAGACACACATCATCTCATTACTAAATCTTTGCGTTGTTTATACAAATAGGGGTCATCCCAAAAATAAGATTAAGCATCATGAATAAATTTCTTTTTCTATAGTTTTGTTAATCCATATGGTAAAATACCACTAACAATATAACTTACAATATCAGCTGTTGACCTCACTTTTGGTTGAGGTCTAGTTTTTCTCTTTTAGTAGCCTAAGGTCTAGTCATAGGACTTTCCTGTTAACTATTCCCAAAGGACTAGAAAGGAACCCTCACCATTAGAAATTCTAAACTTTTCTTTGCTCAACTTGAAGTTTCATATACTGGTCCTAACCTCTAACACTTAACAGGTGGGACCACAAAGGTTGCTTGGCCTTAGGGTTGACTCTGAGTGTTGGTCTTGAGCTAGTGCATACACTGTCACTCACTTGCACATTACACCCCACTCACAACCCTAAACTAAACTTGTTAACTTTTATCCCTTGATATTTTGAGAGACTCATGTTAATGGTCCCCTAGACCCACTAGCCTAGGCTAGGGTCTAGCTAAGACCAGTACATGGAGGACCCAAAGTAGAGGATTTCATTGGTACATAGCTCAAATAGGGTGGTTAGCACCGTAATTTAACTAAAATACCTAACTGAGTCTTTTGCCCCCCAAAATCTACCAAATTTAACAAAACACCCCCAAACCTTATGTTTGACCAAAATTCCCAATTTCACTCAGATTTGTTCAAAAATCATCTCAAACCAATTGAAACCACCCAAATTGCCCAAAACCTCCCAAAATTGCCAAAATTTCCAAAAAAACCTTCAAAAAAACCTTGGTGGCCTAAACTTTCTCAAAACCTTCAAATTCATTTCAAATGTCCCCAAAATCAATTTGGATCCTTCAATTGAACTCAATTTGATTAATTTGACCAATTTCGACCAAAAGCCTTAAATTGCCTTTAAAGGCCCAATTACCCTTATTCACCTCAAATGTCCACCAATTTGGTTCCAATTTTTCTCAATTTCAATTCTAAACTCAAATTTATCATGACCAAACTCATTTCAGACCAAATCTTAACACAATTAACCCATTATTGAGCCCAATTTCACCCAAATCCAAAATCCTCAATTTTGCCCCAATTTAGCCATGTCTCCAAATGTCACCAAATTGAATGCCAAAATCCTCAAATTGACACCCAATTAATGTTGAGAACTTTTCATAACAACCCTCTGGACCAATTTGGACTTAGCCCAACTCTAGCCTAACCTAAACCCAAGTCTAACCCAACATCCCTAAATTGATCAAATGTAAAAAATTTTTCAAATTGACCCTCCAAATCAATTCAAAATCACTATAAATCTTTTCCAAACTCTTTTTGACAATCATCTATATCATCTTGTATGTCATGACTAGCACAACTCAAACCTAACTTTAAGCCAATTTGACTCAAATTGAACTCATGCACCAAAATTGACCAAGGAAAGCTAAATTGGCCAAGTAAGAACCACTCCAGCCACCAAGTGCACACTAGTGACCAGGATAGACTCACCTAGCCCACCCAAGATGAGCTATGGACCAATGGTCCCTTAATTTAAGGGATTTCACCCCATATTTGGTCAAAACTTGAAATATCCTTGCCATCATTGCTTACCCTTGGGAGTTAATCATATTTAGCCACCCCTTGACCTCTCTAAGTTAAGAGATGACCAGTCCCTGGCCAACCACCACCTCAGTC